CAAGAATCTAATGAAATGCATGAGAAACACAAACCTGAACAATCTTTAAACACTCCTAAAATAAAGCTGTGTTCAGCACATCTGATCAAGAACCGAAAGCTTCTGCTGTGAGATCAAACGCTGTATTCTGAAGAGTGCAGCATGTTTTCTGTCAGAGTGAGCTCGGATCCAGTGATGATCAGAGATGGGTTTGATGGGTTTCTCTTACCTGCAGATGGACGCTGGGCTGCTTCTGAGTCTGGACGCGTTCAGAGGAGCTGCAGAGACTCTATTCAAATGTGAGAGGAAGGAAGTGACTTACAGCGGCCTACACGACACTCGAAACAGGAACACGCACGCTGCATGTCTTTATAAGGTAAAGCGCTTGACATCTGCGCACTCACACAAACATGATGGACGTCTGACAGCATCTGACACACTTCTGAGATCTGACCGCGCTGAGGTGTGATCTTCTCAATGGATCCATTCAAGAACGTAACCACACGTTTGGATCAATTAATGTCATCGTTTAAGAATCATCTTATGATTTGCTGCAAATGTTTCCACATTCAAATGACCCACCAGGTTTGGATTAGAGGAATAGTTAAAACCAGAAATCTGCTGAAAATGTGCATCCGAGATCAGGATGAGTTTGTTTCTTCATCAGATTTGGAGAAATTGCATCAGTGTCTCACTGCAAGTGAATGGGTGCCGTCAGAACGAGAGCTGATAAAAACATCACAAGTAATCCACAGCACTCCAGTCCATCAGTTAACATCTGGAGAAGACAAAAGCTGAAACTAATCCAGCATTAAGATGTTTTTAACTAAAATACATTGAGTCTATAATCCATAATAACTCTTCCTCCAGTGAAAAAGTGTTCTGGTGTGAATCAGGAGAGAAATCTGCACAGATCAAGCAGCGTTTAAACAGCTCTAAACACATATGTGCCTGGATTTTAATGTGAGAGACAACAGCAGATGAGCTTTTTCACTGGAGGAAGAGTTATTATGGATTATAGACTCAATGTATTTGAGTTAAAAACATCTTAATGCTGGATTTGTCTCAGCTTTTGTCTTCTCCAGATGTTAACTGATGGACTGGAGTGCTGTGGATTACTTGTGGATTATTGTGATGTTTTTATCAGCTGTTTGGACTCTCATTCTGACGGCACCCATTCACTTGCAGTGAGACACTGATGTCCCAGCTCACAAAAATATGTCTAAGAATGTTTTGCAAACGTTCCTATTAACTTATGAAAACATTATTTCTGAAGGTTCACTGAGGTGCAGGTGCAAACAACATGTTTTTTCTTGGTTATGTGAACGTTCCATTTGATCATTTGGCAAACGATATGCGAACGTTACATTTGAGTGTTTCTCTGAAAGTAGTAACATTTCAAAAATGTTAGACAAACATCCAACTAAAAGTTTTAAGAAAAGCGTTCCAGGAACGAGGAATGATGTTGTTGTGCTAATATTTTGAGAACATTATTAAAGACGGGATAACTTTGCATGAACGTTCCATTAATGTTACTGGAAGAAACTATTAAACTGCATTATTTCTTTCACCATTTGCAAGGAAATGACTTTATCTGAGTATATAGTATGTGCATAATTATCCTCAGATCCTCGTGTGTTCTACAGTGACGATACAGTCCATCACAGAGGCGCTTTACAGACGGTATACCGGCAGGTGACGTCACGCAGGAGACGCGGCTGTCTTTGATGTTTGTGAGTTTGACAGGCGGTTGCTAGGCCGGTTGCTAAGGACTCAGATTCACGGCGGATCTCTGGTGAGTTTCAGGCTCGCGCTCTATTTCTGTTTTCATGGATTAAAGTTTGAAATGTGTGAATGACGGAGGAACTGAATCATGCACAGCGCGTGAAGTCGGTCAGGTTCGCGTATGAACTGATTCATGTCGCGTTATGACGCGATCAGTGTATTGATTAAATCATCGGTGTGTCCTCATGATTCGGTTTCGCTGTCTCGACACTTTTTATTTAACGTGACATATTTGATATTTGATCGCCATATAATAGGCTTTATTAATATATGATAATATAGAAATTATTAAGATATTTTAACTATTTGTATTGAAACCTTGTTATATAAACAAAACAGTTATGATTACATAACAGCTTATATCATAATAGTGGGAAATGAATAGAATAAATAGGCTAATAAAATGAAAGAAAATACCTCGACATCTGTTGTTAAATATATGATATGGCATATTCATGATTGTTTTCACATTACTGCAATGCACAATAAATAAATAATTATATGATATTTAAATGATAATTAATTTCTGCATCATGCAGCATCGGTTGCACGGCATTTAACTCTTAAACTGCTGATTTACGCAGTGCAAAAATATGAATGTCCTTAATTTTCTTTAATATACTCGCAGCTGTCAGGTTCTGGCGAGATTCATTCAGAACAAGCATTCTTGCAGTAACGTTAATGGAATGTTTGCTCAAGGTTATCTGTTCTTTAATTAATAATGTTCTTAAAACATTATTTATAGATTGTTCATGGAATGTTTTAACATGCTGGGTTGTTTCAACTTTGGGTCAAATGTGGACTAACCCAACTGTTGGGTTAATTTTTTCAATTAGTTTTTTAACCCAAAAGTTGGGTTAGTCCTTATTTGACCCAAAGTTGGCTTAAAACAACCCAGCATTTTTTTTTAGAGAGTACTAAAATGTTCTAGTTGGACGTTCATCAAACATTTTTGAAATGTTGCTTCTGGTTTCAGAACTTTCAGAGAGCTTTCAAATGTAACGTTTGCAAAATGATCAAATGGAATGTTCGCTTAATGTTCTGAAAAAGTTTTAAAACATTTAAAAACTGGACATTCTGAGAACATTCAGAAATAACACTTTCATATCTCGATGTGAATTGTAGTTTTTGTTGGCTGGGATATCTCATGTTTGTGATGTTGGTAACGTCTGATGTTCTGATGAAGCAGCCTGGATGTGATGGAGCTGTTGAGACGGCCGCTGCCTCCTGTACAGACCAGATCTGCCGGTGACTTTATCATCTTCAGATTTATTGCTTCACTGCATCAGTTCTGCTCATGATCATATTTGGATCGATTGGGTGAATTAAACATGTTTAGCTGAAATCACCCTGATTAATGAAACTGACATTTGATTTGATATAAACATATTTATTGATAGTAAAGGCACTGCATAAGGAAAATCAGTTAATTCCATTCACATTTTTATTATTTAGATGTGAATTACTCTGCTGTTTCAATATTAACTATTAATATATGACGACTGATTTTTCATGACGGTAAAATAAATAAATAAATAATAATATGATATTAAAATTGTACAGTATTTCTGCAGAATATTAATTCTGTTTAATTATTGATGACTATTATACATTTTTACATGATTTATTATTCTATTCTATTCTATTCTGTCAACGATATGCGAACGTTACATTTGAGTGTTTCTCTGAAAGTAGTAACATTTCAAAAATGTTAGACAAACATCCAACTAAAAGTTTTAAGAAAAGCGTTCCAGGAACGAGGAATGATGTTGTTGTGCTAATATTTTGAGAACATTATTAAAGACGGGATAACTTTGCATGAACGTTCCATTAATGTTACTGGAAGAAACTATTAAACTGCATTATTTCTTTCACCATTTGCAAGGAAATGACTTTATCTGAGTATATAGTATGTGCATAATTATCCTCAGATCCTCGTGTGTTCTACAGTGACGATACAGTCCATCACAGAGGCGCTTTACAGACGGTATACCGGCAGGTGACGTCACGCAGGAGACGCGGCTGTCTTTGATGTTTGTGAGTTTGACAGGCGGTTGCTAGGCCGGTTGCTAAGGACTCAGATTCACGGCGGATCTCTGGTGAGTTTCAGGCTCGCGCTCTATTTCTGTTTTCATGGATTAAAGTTTGAAATGTGTGAATGACGGAGGAACTGAATCATGCACAGCGCGTGAAGTCGGTCAGGTTCGCGTATGAACTGATTCATGTCGCGTTATGACGCGATCAGTGTATTGATTAAATCATCGGTGTGTCCTCATGATTCGGTTTCGCTGTCTCGACACTTTTTATTTAACGTGACATATTTGATATTTGATCGCCATATAATAGGCTTTATTAATATATGATAATATAGAAATTATTAAGATATTTTAACTATTTGTATTGAAACCTTGTTATATAAACAAAACAGTTATGATTACATAACAGCTTATATCATAATAGTGGGAAATGAATAGAATAAATAGGCTAATAAAATGAAAGAAAATACCTCGACATCTGTTGTTAAATATATGATATGGCATATTCATGATTGTTTTCACATTACTGCAATGCACAATAAATAAATAATTATATGATATTTAAATGATAATTAATTTCTGCATCATGCAGCATCGGTTGCACGGCATTTAACTCTTAAACTGCTGATTTACGCAGTGCAAAAGTATGAATGTCCTTAATTTTCTTTAATATACTCGCAGCTGTCAGGTTCTGGCGAGATTCATTCAGAACAAGCATTCTTGCAGTAACGTTAATGGAATGTTTGCTCAAGGTTATCTGTTCTTTAATTAATAATGTTCTTAAAACATTATTTATAGATTGTTCATGGAATGTTTTAACATGCTGGGTTGTTTCAACTTTGGGTCAAATGTGGACTAACCCAACTGTTGGGTTAATTTTTTCAATTAGTTTTTTAACCCAAAAGTTGGGTTAGTCCTTATTTGACCCAAAGTTGGCTTAAAACAACCCAGCATTTTTTTTTAGAGAGTACTAAAATGTTCTAGTTGGACGTTCATCAAACATTTTTGAAATGTTGCTTCTGGTTTCAGAACTTTCAGAGAGCTTTCAAATGTAACGTTTGCAAAATGATCAAATGGAATGTTCGCTTAATGTTCTGAAAAAGTTTTAAAACATTTAAAAACTGGACATTCTGAGAACATTCAGAAATAACACTTTCATATCTCGATGTGAATTGTAGTTTTAGTTGGCTGGGATATCTCATGTTTGTGATGTTGGTAACGTCTGATGTTCTGATGAAGCAGCCTGGATGTGATGGATCTGTTGAGACGGCCGCTGCCTCCTGTACAGACCAGATCTGCCGGTGACTTTATCATCTTCAGATTTATTGCTTCACTGCATCAGTTCTGCTCATGATCATATTTGGATCGATTGGGTGAATTAAACATGTTTAGCTGAAATCACCCTGATTAATGAAACTGACATTTGATTTGATATAAACATATTTATTGATAGTAAAGGCACTGCATAAGGAAAATCAGTTAATTCCATTCACATTTTTATTATTTAGATGTGAATTACTCTGCTGTTTCAATATTAACTATTAATATATGACGACTGATTTTTCATGACGGTAAAATAAATAAATAAATAATAATATGATATTAAAATTTTTAAGTTATTCTGCAGAATATTAATTCTGTTTAATTATTGATGACTATTATACATTTTTACATGATTTATTATTCTATTCTATTCTATTCTGTCGTCTCTGTGCTTCCAGATCATGATGAACGGAGTGAGTCCGCCTGCCGTCCACAGACTCTTCGTGTCGTTCCGATCATCAGCGGTTTCTCCCAGAATCCTCAGCGCGCCGCACCTGCGCCTCTACAGCCTCGACCTCCTGACCTCTTCTGCCTCAATGACTTCCTGCAGGTGAGCGGGTCGGGCCGCGGGTCAGGGGACGGGCTGAGGAGGACGGTTCTGTCCCGCTGTAACTACAGGAAGCTGCTGCGTCTCTTCCTGTCGGAGCTGCACTGTGGAGGGCAGGATGCAGTAGCCAATCAGACGCTGAGCTGCGAGGGTTTGCCGCCGCCCACACGCAGGATCCCTCGCAGACAGATCATCTGCGGTAATAATACATCTACATGCTGCTGGATCATCAGTGTAATAGACGAGTGTGTGTTCTTTAGCTGTGTGTGTGTGTGTGTGTTCAGAGTTAGCAGCGATGGTTCAAATGGAAGCACGAGCACAAAACTCTTTCAGGAGTAAATCTGGAGTTTGTCGAGCATCTGAAGATCAGTCAGTGGATCAGCAATGGATGACAGTGGAGAGACGGACCGAACACACACAACATGAGGCCTACACAGGCAAGAACACACACACACACACACACACACACACAGA